TAACAGTTGATGAAATGATTTGATTGCACGGTAACCATATCATCGACAGCTTGAGGTTTCGCTGAATCCGAATCTATTGGGTGGCCATGATGCCTTACCAAGGGCCAATCTTGGTCTGTGTGTAGTGAGATAATTAATTGGTGTTAATCGCGATACTACACACTAACGATATGATGAGGAGCCTACGGGTCAAATACTTAGAAGATAATTTAATAATTAATTTGTGAGAAGGGTATTTTCGTCTTTTAGGACGAAAGCGTACTTTGGTAATCTCACAGTGCAATTAAATTTGTTGAGGTGTCGCCTATATTTAATCTGATATTAAAATTAAATTAGTGAGATTATATTTAAATATATGTACACATATATTTAAATGAATTATTATTATTAATTAAATGTTAATATATTATTATATATTAATTGATTTTAATTATAATAATAATTAATTAATTTAAAATACCAATTACATGGTGTTTGGTTGCAAGGGTGAACTAGGGTTGGAGTTCATGGCTATTCCTAAGTGGAATAGGGTTTTAAATGTTGCACTATATAAGTGCAACTTAAAATTAAAATAAGTGATATTCATTCAATTAAAACCTTAGCCACCCAAATGGTTGTCTCTCTCTCTCTCTCTCTGTCACGTTTTCACTCCTTAGTGAAAGGAAATATTTTTGCTTGTATTCTTTCTTGATTCTTGAAGCCCTTGATTGTTCTAGCAAAATAATCAAGGGTTCTGCGGATTGTCTTCGTGTGGATTTTTGTGAGTGCAATCCTATATTGGATCATTAGCGAAGAATCAGGTGAACAGTGTTGATGAACAGTATCGGTGAATAGTATCGGTGAACAGTAGCTGGTGAATAGTGTTTGTGAGCGAAATCAGAGATATTCGGAGGAGCCTCCAAACGTGGGTATGAACTAAATCCTTGTATGGATTTGTTTTTACATAGCTTTTACTCTACGTTTTTTGTTTATGCATGTGAACAATACAATCTGTGCCTGGATTTTGGGACGTGTAAGTGATCTTTTTCGTTTTGAAATTTCGTTTTTCCACTACGCAAACCTAATCACTTACTAACATCATCGATATAGACTTTCATTGATTTCCCGATCTGTGATGAATGAGATACGCTCTTTGTCAAGCTCATACATCGGGATCTGATTATACCCCGAGTAGGCATCCATAGAGCTTAACAGCTAATACCTAGAGGTGGCGTCGACGAGCTAATCGATCCTGGGCAAAGAGAAACTGTCCTTCAGACATGATTTGTTGAGATTAGAGAAATCAACACAAGTTCACCACTTGCTGTTGGGTTTTTTCACCAAAACCGGATTGGTGACCTTAACTCGGGTAATGAGCTTCCCGAACAAACCCGTTTGAAAGGAACTTATCCAGCTCAACTTTAAGAGCAGCATAGCGTTCTAGGTCCATGGCTCTTCTCTTCTAACGAACTGACTTGATCACGCTGTCAATTTTGAGTGCATGACATATTATATTCGGGCTGATCTCGACCATATTAGCATGAGTCCATGCAAAACCATCAATATTCTGTCTAAGGAAGCTCATTAAATCTGCGACGAGCTGAGGGCTGATATTACTCCCGATCCTCAACACTCGCGTCGGCTTATTCTGGTCGGCAAATGCCTCTGATAGAGACTCGACCGGCCCATTATGGGAATACTCCTCCTGAACACGAGGATCTATGCAGTCTTCCACTGGACCTAACTATGGCTCGATCCTATTGATCGCCATTGCCTAATCGAGAATACCCACCGACTTCCCTTTCCCTTTGCACACCATCTGCACTGCCCTTACATAGTAGTCGCGAGATTCGCTCTGAGACCCTTTCATTTCCCCACACCCTATCGGAGTGGGAAACTTCATCTAAAGATGATAGATGGAGGTGACAGCCTTGAAACTTCGTAGTAGAGGTCGTCCCAGAATGCCATTAAAAGCGGACGGACAATCTACCATTAAGAACTTTGTCATCGTGGTCACTTCGTTGGTCTTACCCAAAGTGACGGGAAGTGCGATTGTTCCCTTAAGAATAAGATGATCCCCAGTAAAATCGTAGAGAGGGATAGAGGCAAGCTTCAAATCTGCCTCGTCCAATTGTATTTTGTCAAAAGCTCGCTAAAATAGGATGTTCACAGCGCTGCCATTGTCCACCAACATTTTGTGGACTTCACACCGACCTATTTCAAGCACGATGATGAGTGCATCCTCATGAGGATGATGCAATTGTATCACGTCTTTCTCTAAGAAGGTAATCTCTTCTTCCTTGCGAACCTTAACAGGTCATGATGACGCCGTGGTCATCACACTCACGGGATCATGACAAGCTTCTCGAGCGTACCTTTCCTGGGCACCTCAAGAATTCCCCGCGAGGTGCAGTCCTCCAAAGATGATCCCTACGCAGTAGAGACACTTACGACCATGGCGCTTTTTCCCCTGTTCCTCTTGATCCTTCTCCCGAACGAGAGTTGGACCATCAATATACTCCTTGAAGTGCCCCTACTTGATGAGGCCTTAAATTGCTTGCTTGAGAGCCTGATACTCATCGGTGTGGTGCCCATTATCCTGGTGATAACATCAATATTTCTTATTGTTTCTTTCTAAAGGGGGATTGCTCATGGGCGCTGGCTCTCCGAGCAGGCTGGCTTTTTCTGACTTATCTAGAATAACTGATACTGACGCATTCAGAGGAGTATACTGATTTTTATCGTGATCGCGACGAGGAACCTAGGCATAGGATTTCTTGGACTCAAACCGCTGCTTTTTTCCCTTCCATTGATCTTCATTAGCCCATCTATGATCAGCTTTTCTACTGCCTTTCCCCCGGTCAGGAGCACTAGTCGAAGGACTATGGTCGTGGCGATTGAGAGTGGCCACAAAATTCTCTATTCATAAGTACTTCTCCGTGAGGTCGTAGAAGCGAGTGAGGAAAATGTCGTCCCCAGATTACAGCTTTTTCCACATGTCGGTTCCACATGTCGGTTTGTGGATGAATTCCCACAATAATGAGAGTTCGAATAGATTCTTCAAGTGTATTAGCTACCTTGTGTAGCTCCTTGTAGAACCCGTCAGTGTAGGACTGGAGGGATTCATTCTTCTCCTACCGTATGTTGCTCAGATAACTCAACGACATTGAGAACTTCCTATTCGCTTGGAAGTGTCTCAAGAATAATTAACTCATCTGCTGCCACGAGTTAATAGACCCTAGCAGAAGTGATCTAAACCAGCGCTTGGCATGGGCAATCAGGGTCACTTCCAAACAGTGACACTTGGCCAAGTTGGAAACTTGGTGAAGCTCTATGAGGTCGTTAACTTATATAGGTGATTATACAGATCAGAATTCCCATTGAATGATCGCATATCGAGCATTCTAAACCTTAACGGGAAATGAGCAACTAACATTGCTGGAGAGAAGGGAGACGCCTCAATGACCTACCCATGCTCGTTTTACTGAGCTCCAAGTTGATCCAGAGCTTGCTGTAACTCCTCAATTTGAAGCAGTGGAGCTACCTGAGGATCGCTTTCTGTAACATGGGTTCGACCCTCACGATTACGGTTTAGGAAAGACCGCAGATCAAACGCTTCCTCGCCTCCCTCGGCCGGAAGCTTTGGCATATCTTGACACATGCTAACTAGAGCCGTGTGAAGGCAATGAAATGTTTGAGGAGTTAGCCCGACCTTTGCGGTGATCAGAACCGACCCACGATTGCTAGAGGTTTCACTTCCTTGCACTTTTATGGGGGTACCTATGCGATGTGGCATGGGACGGTTCATGATGCGACATACTGCCAAGTTGCAAAGCCATAGCTATTCTACTCGTTTCATGACAGGCATTCGTTGGTCCCTTGGAGCCCTTCGGCCCATCATCTGCCACCTACTTCCCCTTTCCTTTAAGCATTACAATGCACGTGGCATGGGCCTTCGCCCGTTTCTGCGCTTTAGCGCGATCTACAGGCATTTTTTGCAGTGGCACCGCCTTATCGGACTTGGGTGGTACGACTTGATCCAAACGGTCTAACCTTCGGTTAACCACGGGGGCACTTCGGGAGAAGTGTCATCCTACATCCGGGGGCCCTCCTCGTTGTTGGGGGTAGCTCACTCGGTTTCAAAACCACGAGCTATTTGTTATCGAACAGAATCGATTAATTGGAGATTCCTGATGAAGAGCAAATACTAAATCAGGCCCTCCTTCTAACGTTAAACTGCTGTTGCTAGATTTTGACACCAACTATTCGCAAGTGCAAAGTGCTAAGCGAACTTAGAAATTATACGTGAACTGGAAATGAAAATAAATAAAAAAGGAGATAATTTTTAAAGTGGTTCGGATGCTTAAAGCAAATCCTATGTCACTGTCTTTTTATAAATGAAAGGTTACAATCAAGTCACAAATAGCAATCAAGGAGATAGAAATACAAAGAGTGAGAGAGAGTGTTTATATTATCAAAAGCCGAATCTGGATGATGAGAGGAAAGCTCTCTATTTATAGTAAGAGGTTTTTGGGCAATGATTACGAGTCTACCAACGGGCAGGTCCCGTACAGTTCCTATCGTACTTCCCATTGGTTGGTGGCACGGTAGATATCCTTAAATCGCGTAGGGCTTGGGCAAGTGAGTGACTCCTAGCCACTCACTAGCCATACCTTTACCTGCCAAGTTGATGACAACCTACCTTCTTCTACCCTTGGACGACATGGCAGAGCCTAGACGGCGCAATGCCTTCCTGAACTATGATTGGTCCTCGCTGACGTAAGCCTGCATCAACCCTGATTTTTTAGGCATAACAAAACTAAAGCTACTTAAACCAAACATCATGGATGAACTTGTTATTCTCTCGAAGAAGGTTTACAACCTCTAATTATATACTAATAAATGGCAGAAGTGCACTTATCTCCTCCGTTGCTACAAAATTTTCAACTCAAATTGAAATCAATTGGGTACTTAGGCTGCATATCCAGAGAAAAGAGTCCCCAGAATTTCTCATATTTAGGTTATTCCTTATTCTCATCAAACATGGCAAAGACATAAGTTTCTATTTCCTTTCCAGGCCTTCTCGGACTCCCTCCTCCTCCTCCTTTCACATGTTGAACAAAATTCTGGTTATAAGTTCTCGCATTCTCAATACTCGTTTCAATTCCACCCGCCGAAGGGCATCCACTCTCCGACACAACGATCTCCAAGGCGCCCCCATCCGCCTTCTCAAGTGCCGCGTAAACGGTATCCAATGTTGCATTGAAAAGATTACGATTGTTATACGAAGGATTTGAGACCACATCTGTGTGAGCTGTAAAAAGAGCATACTCAAGATGAATGTTTTGAGGATCATGAATGTAGCTGAAATAAGGGTATAAGTTAACCAGTAATGGAGCTTGGTTTGTTTTTAGAAAGCCAATGAGTGGATTTAGAATGGGTAGATATTCTTCTCTAAAGGAACCTTGAGATGGAGGATAGGATTGATCACTAAGAGAACGAGTATCAATAGCAGTGGATACTTTAATTTGGGTTTGAAGACCAGTTGAAGCAATGGAATTCTGTATGTTTTGCATGGCCGGGACTAAAAATTGTGCAAAATTATCACTAGGTTTTACTTCATTTCCAACTGCGATGTATCGGAATTTGACATCGCCATAGTTTTTGACATTGTTTTGCACCCATGAATCTGCTTCGGCTTGACTAGATGCGATTCTTTCTGAAAAGAGCTATGACTTCTGATTTTGATGGTAAATTGTCACTAAGCATGGAGAACTAGGATGCTCCTTCATGGAGAGAGAGAGAGACCTGTTGCATGTAGGGTGGCCATAATAATAAGCAACCCGAGAAATACCATTGTGGTAAACATGGAAGGCCTCTTGAATAGTTTAGGCATCAGCTTAAAAGAAAGTGAAAAGGAAGAATTTATAACTATGATGCCAATTGTAAACCTAATTTATAGAGGAAAAAAGTTGGCATTTCCACCGCCAAATAATCAAACTAGTCAATGTTCAACATGAACCATTTTACACGTTTAATAATTTTTCTTCGAATTAAAACATATTCAATTGCTTGTATTGCGGGTTCTGAAAGTCTTACTTCTTGGCATGTCCCTTTGAATTCCTCAGTGATTGCGGTGTAATATTGTCGTTGTATTTAGGAAAATAATTTTAATATTCCACTCTTTTTATATAATTTTGCTAAATGGCTTCTTTGCTCTGTCTCAACTCTCAAAGAAAAATTTTAAAAGGGTGTGATGTTATTTAAGCCCCACTTAAACTCTTTCTAAGCTACCATTTGATTTTTTTTTTAATTAAAAACATATATATGTGCAATTGTAAATAAACATTTAGGGGAACAATTAATTATCAATATTTTTCACTATCACGAGAATTGAAGCAAAGAGATAAATTAACAAGCTATAAAAGAAAAAGAAAACAAATAATTAGAGATTAAGAACTAAAAACTTCAATTAAAATGATAAAGTCATTTAATGTAGGGGAAAAAACAAGAAAGAAGAGTATCTAAATGAGTTAGGGAGATAAGATCATCTTAGGGCCCGTTTGGATGGGGTTCATATTAGATAACTGGGGTAATATTTTTTAAATTGAGCAGATGACAATGTTTGGTTGGTTTGTAAAAAAATTATTCCCAAAATCTTTTATGACAAACAGTGGCATTTGGGGGGTTAGTTGCTGGGAATCTTAATACCTTTTTTTTTGCCGGGTTGTTATTAAAACTTACCCAAGGTAATCTAATTTTGTTTCCCATATTGCCCCTAAACAGTTGAGCATTTTGTGCATTAGCCTTATATTCGTTAAGATATACAAAACACCAAATTCACTCATGCAGGCCCTTTTGTCCTCACTTTTTAAATTTTTCAGACGACATTGCCCTTATTATTGTCATTATTTACAGATATGGCATTGTACCCAAAACTAGCCACCACCATGGACCGCCATCAGAGGCTGCTAAAAGTTGTCATAATGGCATACAACCGGCTGTATATGGCCGACTATGCACCGATGAGGCCTTTTTCGACCATGGATCGTCGGAAACGGCCAGATCTATGACCATTTCATGGTCCCGTGAAATGGCCAATGTTTCACAGCCAAAGACCCGGCCATTTTACGGCCAGATCTGTGGCACCGTAGGCGTCACGACTAGCTGTCGGCAATGGCTTGGGGTGGGTAGCGGTGTTTTTGTTAAGTTTAAAACGTTTTTGGTTGCTAGGGTGTTTTTGCTAAATCTGAAAAGTAGAGGTTAAAAGAAATTATTCAAAAAATTATAATAATAAATACTATTATATGAATATTTAAAAAGAATGACAAATTAGTAATCTATATAACATACCTACCCATTTATTCTCCCAACCAAACATATTATTCACCAATTTATTCGAACCAACCAAACACATTTATTAAACATTCCCAATAATCTTTAAGGTGTTTTTTTTATTCCGTTAATACAATATCCCCCTATAATAAAATATTATATGATCTAAATGCCCCTTACGGTTGAATATAACAAAAACACAAGTACAAACCAGAATAATACAAAAAAGTTTAAATCTAAGAAAAACACAAACACAATCACAGATGAATATACATACAGTAAAACCTCTCTATAGTTATAATGGTAAAACTAACTAATTTTATTACTATGAAGAGGTTATAACTTAATGAAGGTGTAGTCACAAAAATTATTGTTTTGATTTCTTATTTTATAATTCATGTTTTAGTAGTATAGTATTAGGATTTCAATTCATATTTTAGTAGTATTAAGATTTCAATTCAGTGCTTCAATTGTCTACTTTTTAAATAGATAGAAGATCGTGTCTTGGAACCAACAAAGATAAATGTCATTGATGGAACTATAAATGCAGTTGATGCATGGTCAATTGATGTGAAGCTACAAACAATTACCAATGGTTTTAAGCACTGCAAAATTAGCATCCCTAGTGTCGATGAATTGCATGTGACAAATGAAGTGGATGAAGAGAATAAAAGAGTCATTGCGGGAATTGAGGGATCAGATTCAACATTTTCACTATACTAATCAAATGGATATTAATGTCTTTCTCGATCATCCAAATGAACAACAAATCATATATAGATTAACTAAGAAGAAACTATTACTGCAATTAGACAAGAAGAAAAAAGAAATAATCCTAAGGATGATAGTACGGATATACAAAAAGTTTCTTGCTATGAAGCTCTAAACATGCTTGAAAAACTAAAAATATTTTTGCTTCAGCAAGAAGGTGTCCAATCTAGCAAGGTATTACATAATCATAAGATAAAAGATGTGATAATAATTCTAAATCATAAATCATTGTCCCAAACAATTTTAGATAAATATTTTATTTCATCTTAAACCTTTAATGTAATATAACATATATTTATTTATAATATATAGATAATTATTATTATATAGAGGCAACTTTCCTTAAGGCGTGAATTAGAAAAATTATAACTTATTATAATGTAAAGTTTATTCTTATTTATAATTATCCCAAATTGAGATTAGAATTTTTTATGACAATGTAGAGTTTATTCCTATTTAGAATATCACTATGGAGAGGTTTTACTGTACATAGTAGAATATCTCTATAGTGATACTCTATATAAGAATAACCTCTACATAATTATAAAAAATTCTGATCCTAACTTGGGCTAGTTATAAATAAGAATAAATTTCATATTGTAATAAGTTACAATTTTTCTTGGTATCGTCTTAAGAAATTTGCCTCTACATAGTAATAATTATATGTATATTAAAAAAAATATGTATTATATTACATTAAAGGTTTTAGATAAAATAAAATATTTATCTAAAATTGTTTGGGACAATGATTTATGTTTTAGAGTTGTTACCACTTCTTTTACCTTGTAGGTACATAATAAGCCGTTAGCATGGATGTAAGAATAACCTTACATAGTTATAAAAAGTTCTGATCTTAACTTGGATAAATTATAAATAAGAATAAATTTCACATTTAATAAGTTACAATTTATCTTGGTCCTGTCTTAAGAAATTTGCCTCTACATAGTAATAATTTTATGTATATTACAAAAATATATACTATATTACATTAAAGGTTTAAGATGAAATAAAATATTTATATAAAATTGTTTGGGATAATGATTTATGTTTTAGAGTTGTTACCACTTCTTTTATCTTGCGGGTACATAATAAGCCGCTAACATGGATACTTTCTTGTTGAAACCAAAATATTTCTAATTTCTCAAGCATGTTTAGAGCTTCTTGACGCGAAACTTTTGGTATTTATGTACTATCATCTTCAGGATTATCTCCTTCATCTTCTTGTCTAATTCCAATAATGATTTGTTCTTCAGTTAAAGCATGACTTATTGTTCATTTGGATGATTGAGAAAGACATTAATATTCATTTGATTAGTGTAGTGAAATTGTCGAAACTGATCACTCAATTTTACAATGACTCTTTGATATTAATTTCTGTACTATCTTAATACTACTAGAACAATGAATTATAATTCTAATACTACCAAAACATGAATTGAAATCCTAATAATACTAAAACATGAATTATAAAATCAAAAATCAAAACAATAATTTTTTAATCAAAAAAATAATTCTTGTAATTACATCTCTATTAAGTTATAACCTCTTCATAATAATAAATTTAGTTAGTCTTAACATTTGATTATAGAGAGATTATACTATACGTGTGTGTGTGTGTGTGTGTGTGTGTGTGTGTGAATTTACCAAAAAAACAAGTTAGTTTGAATCTGTGAAAAACATAATTACAAACAATGAATAAAAAATAAATACAGGTAAAAGAAGGGTCCTTTTCGACTAAATAGATATATTTTAAATTTTACTTTTTAAATAAATTTTATTTAAATTGGGGCTTAAAACAGTTATGGTGGGGCATAGATAAAAATACTCGAGTCATATCAAGGGTGGAGCAAGGGTGCTTGCCTTCACTGTAACCCGATAAAAACCTTGGAAAAGAATTAAAATTTTTAATTTTATTTAAATTCTTAATTGAGCCAATTTTTTTAATATAGATATTTTGCAATCCAATTTATGTGATCTTTTAACTTTAAATTTGACTTATATTGAGACACAAATTCTTAACCATGTATATTTTGTAATCTATTGAATGTGAGAGGAATTTGGAATTTTCTCTGTCACTCCTACAATATTGGATTTTATTGAATTCAGGTTGAAAATTTGTGTAAAAAATTTATGTTAAAAAATTACATCCCATATATATATATTATTTACAATGGTTTTAATTTTTTTTAAATCCCAAATAATTTAAATTTTTTAACTTCCTTAACACTTTTTGTTAGAATTTATTGTAGATCATATTTTCTCTTATTTTTATACTTTTCTTCTTATAAAAAATTGATGAAATCTCTCACTATAAAAGTATAAATTTCGTTTTTGCTAGGGTTGATGTAAGATTTCACACCACACTAGAAATGGCTGACTTTTGGTAGACAACTTCAGTATATGGCCTTTACTATAAATGTTAGTGTAGGTGTCCTGGAGTCAATTAAATCTATATTATGACATTTTGTGATATCATGTTATTATAATAAAATGTATTTTACTATATCATGTGATTCATATTATAATATGTTATGATATATGTCCTTAAAATAGTAGAACCGTGACGAGAGAATCAAGTGTATTAAATCTAGATTGTGAGGACCCTATGAACATATATGGTGGTCATTCTAGAAATGACCATAGCCTCAATATTATTATGATTAAGGGCACAAATAATATGACAAGACTATCATAGCGTTGAGCGACCCTATCGAAAGGTAGTGGCGAATCTCATACGTTAAAGTTGTTTAG